GCCATCCCCACCCCCCCCTTCCATTCCCACTTTCCTGTGTGTGTGTTTGTGACCAACAGAATGTAGTTATGCTTTTGATTTCCCTAAGATTCAGTAGCGGTAATATAACGTTTTCCACAAGCTGCTCACCGCAAGCTAGCTGCTACAGTTCTGTGTGTGCATGTGGTGTGTGTGTGTGTGTGTGTGTGTGTAAACGTGAAAGAGAGCACACACTATAATGAAACTGAGTGTGTGTGTGCGTGTGTGTGAGAGCACTAGGTTACCCCCCTCCCCCCCACACCCTCCTTTATCCTGGGTATATTTTTATCCCATTGTGCCTAAAAATAGACTTCACACTGCTCATTGTAGTTGTTGGCTGTGGAAGGGAAGCTGGGTGCCGGGGTGGGGGGGGGGGTCCTTTGGAGGGGGTTGGCTGTACATGGCAGAGTACTTGCGACCGAAAAAATTGTGAATCTGGTGCTTTACAACAGAGGGCATAAATAAGCACTTTGAAAAACGTAAACACGTTTAGGAACTATGTCAAGTGTACACATCCTGAAATAACTGATTACTGCTACAAGCTTTTCATTTCCAACCTTTACCCGGTTTGTACAAAAGGGATACGTCTCGATGCCTTTTTCGTAAAGCCTTCCGCAATCTAATGTGAATTTATGATTGCAAGTACTGGAGAGTTGTTTTTTTTTTTTGTGTAAATGTGAATAAGTTCAATGTGTGCTGTATGAAGACAGCCGGATGTTTGGACCAGGGAGATGAAAAACACTTGATTGTACAGCTGGTAGGGCGTCAGGACTATTCACCGAATCAGCGAGTCTCAGGGCACCGTCTCTGACTCGTTCGCAGCAAAACAGTTTGGTCTTGGTCCCATGCGGCGGCCTGTAACCGTGACTCCTTCTGTCGTGATGTCTGCTGGTAACCAAGGGCAACGTTTCTGTGTTGAGTGAGGATAGCTTTATAGTTGAGGATGTGTTAGTAAATGTCAACAGGTAGACAAGCTGACCTTGGAAAAAGGAAAAAAGACTAACTAGTTCTGAGAAGAGCACACGGGGGTGTCACTTTTGGGGAGGGGGAGGGGGAGGGGGCTCTGCATACGTGGCGAGTCCCAGCACCCTGGCATCAATTCTGCTGCGCCGCCCCTGTTGTCTGGACACAGTGGGTCCGGTTCCGATTCCGCTCCGAGCCCTGGCGCTTTCATAATGCCTTCTGCAAGTGCCTGGAGTTAAAAGCCATGACGGGCAGGGCCAGGTAACTGGTGCCTGTGTTGGTGGCCGTTTCGTACCGCGACCGTGCTCTGGGAGGAGGGGTGTGGCCGGGCTGACGGATGGCGCATGCAAGCCCGCTCCCCTACGGATATTTCGTTCACATTTACGATGTGCCCAACCCTGGGAGAGAGCAAATAAGCGTCAAACAAAAACAAGTAGACTTTAAAGCAATAAGACCGACCAAGCGTGTCTTCAGTGTGGAGTCAAGACTACTCATGGCAGATATTGTCATACCAAAGACAACGTCTAGGTGACAGAAAAGAGAGAACCACCCTCTTCAGGATGATGTGTATGTCAAAAAAAAAAAACCTAAATGCTGTTCTTATTCGCCTCCCCATCTGTCCGATGGAGGTCAAGGGCAATTATCAGTTGAGCATGTATGTTTGCTTAAAGCTAGCCCAGTCTGAGAGGCGCTGTCGCATAACACTATCTCTGCGCCGCCCATCTCACGGGACCCAGCTCTGATTTCTGGCATAAGGGATGCAGGTCGGAATCTTCTTGCAAAAGGACCAGGGTAACGCACAACCCAACGTTTGATTCTTCATTTGCGCCAACCATGGGTGATATTGGTTTGCACACTTGCGTCAGGGCTACGTGTTTAAGGTCGATTGTACTCCACGTCATCCTGCGTGAATCTTGAAGGTTGTGCGTGCAGTTTCTTGGGCCAGCATAATAGCCGTGTTCATGATGTAAACTGTTCCTAATGCCAGACTGGGGATTTGGGTCATGTGTGATGGGGAGCATAAACAGCCCGACACAGACTGGATATAAACAAACCAAGACTGCTTTTCAGACTGTGCACATGAGTTGCTGCGTTCCTCCAGAGCCCAAATCTGAATATGCATAAATCGCAGGAACTTGAGTCCGTCCATCCAGTGATGGAGAGTGACCTTCGTCACATTCGGGCGGGTCGTAGATGCAGATGGACGTGGTTAACACTACTCGTACTCCCATTGTCCTGTGTACCGTGGACCCCTGCCTTTATGCACAGCTACCGGTAATATAGTCTGCCTTCCGCCTTATATCTACGTGAAACACGGGCCATCGTTCGCTATGGTATGCACCATTGTTTATCCCGCCGTGAACGTCACGTGCACACTACGAATCCTACGTGCATCCAGAGCTGCGGACCCGCATACTGGGTTCCGAGACGACACGCCCGGAGCGATGCGCGTGTATCAACACTAGCTAGCAAAAATAACGAAAAGAGAATCCATGCTGAGTGCCTATCCACAGACAATGTGCTTCTTCCAGTGTTATGCGGTGTTCTTTCTTTCTTTCTTTCTCTATTTCTTCTTTCTCTGCTCCTGGAATCTCTTTCCCCTCCCTTTCTTTCACCCTTCTCTCAGCTGAACAGCTTCGATTTCATTCGGGCTTAATTCCATTCCAGCTCCGTGCGTCGGCGGAGTAAAACTTGCGCAACGGAGAACAGAGCGGTTAAATGAGGGTCTGGCAGCGCCGACAGACCGAGACCTGTCATTCCAGAAAGTTTAATGGTCCACCGCCGTCTCCTATCGCAGCGTCTTTGTACTTTGTGTCTCCTATAATCCAAACATAGGTACCCTTTGCTCAAGCTTTGGTCTGACAGGCAGTCAGTAAGACTTATGTTACCCACCTTTTCTCTGTAGCAATCATAAAACACGAAAACAAAAAAAAAGTGCCGTACAAATAGAACCCTAATTTGTTTTTCTGTGAGCGTACTGTATACCTGTATAATGTATATTTTACTATTTATAAGCAGCTGTTGTATTAAAGTATTTTTTTAAATGCTTTGCTTTTGATCATTGAATTGTGCCATGTCCTACTCTGTTTCAGCAGGCCTTATACTGGTAGAAAATCCAGTTAAATCCTAAGAAAGAAGGCCCAGTTTGATCCCTGGGAGGTATTTGGGGTATTAAACTAATCCTGCTGTTACTGGGTAAAGTAACGAGTCTCGCATTTAGCAGAGACAATGGCGAAGGCTGCAGGTTAACCCTTCAAAGGTGCCGGCTGACCCTTTGGCTCTGTTCGGCATTCAGTTACATGCTTGGCCGTGCTCTAGGTTAATTGGTTTCAAGTAATAAAATGTCTTCTTGCGGGGTGAGTGGGGGGAGATAGAGATACAGACATGCCCACTTCAGGCATTAGCTCACATGTCACAGCAGCAAGCAACATGAACAACTCTGGCTCAGTTAAAAAAAAAATAATTTAATAAGCCTGCAGTTTGTGGCCCAAACAGTCATCCCAGAGCCCCACCCGAATAGCATTCCTTTGCCCTGTATTTACATTGCACAATGCCCGGTTAGGATGGTTAGGTGCCTAGGTCCCATCATTGATTAACTGATCAAATCACACTGAAGACCTTTGGCCTTTGTAACCAAACCAATTCATACCTGGAAAATGGGGGGGGGGGGAATCACCAAACCACCGAAAGGCACCTTTCACATGTTTGAGTACACAGGTGTTCCTTGGTAGTTCAAGAAGTAGCGGGAAAAATCAGCTTCGGTAATGCCAGACGTACAAGTGCCTCAGACGATGAGGGAAAAAGTCAACATGGTTCGGCACAAAACGAGGAAAATATTTACAGCGGTATGGGGGTGGGGTGGGGTGCGTAGCGCTCGCTGGGGGCACGTTTCCAGCATAAAAGAGAACGACAGGCGGGAGTTCAATTTGTCACCACGCTCTATTTGCAGCGAGCACCCACCCCACACCTACTTCCCTGGCAGCGGTGGTCTCCATGACGACGGTCTCGGTCACCACGTAAATCAGACTGACGGACGCGAATCCGGGCCCTTCGCGTCGGTTTCTGCTGGCTGGCAATTAGCGACACTGTCACCCAAGTTTAGAATCACCTGGCTTCATATCTGTGCTAATGCCCCTCCCCCACCCCCCCGACGCTGGAAGCCGAGCACTGAAATCAGCACTGTCCTTCATCTGATGCAACACGGCGTAACACTACCCCGTAAAAAAAAAGAAAAAAGTTCATTTGCCGTGCTGCCATTTCTCATTGTGGCAGTATTAGGACACGCCCCTTTTGCTGCAAGGACAGGGGGGGCCCCCATGAAGGTCCTGCGGGGAGGCAGCTCTCCGCTGAACCGGGACCTTGTTTAAACAAACATTTTATGGCTTCCTGGCAGCGGCCAGATTGCCGCTCGGAGCTGGGGGTGCTTTTCTTCCAGGAGGTGGTGCGCTCAGCTTCTCTCCCGGCCTCGAACCCCTCGGCGACCGTGACCCCGGACGGAGGAGCCCCGGACGAGGCGACCCTGAGATGCCCGGCAAAACTAAATGTGGCCATGTTGACAACCCAGCCAGACGCTTGTGCTGGGTGGACGGTGCCCCCTTGAGGACGGAGGAGTAGAACTGAAATCTCCCTCTTAAACTCCTTGATCATCCTTTACGTCTCTCCGATGAGGTGATTATATGCATCCACCTCCCATCCCCACCCGAAAACCCTGCCGTGGGCGTCCGCTGCTTTGCCGTGTCCCTTAGACCCCCACCAGGGCTTCGCCCTCCTCCACCCACAGCAGGTCCAGGGCCTCCACCTGCCGCTGCTCCCGCTGGTGAATGCGCCGCAGTCGCAGGATGTACAGCAGGATGGCCAGCAGCACCGTCAGCATGCAGGCGAAGAACAGGTAGTGGTTGTAGACGAAGGCGATGCGTGGCCAGCTGGTGTGAGATGGCCGCAGCGACTCCTGCTGGAGGTCCCTGGTAATGCACGCACACGCACACACACACAGAGGCAGTAAATTCAGGGAAGTCCAACCAATTAGCAGGAAGCTGTATCATTACCGGTCCGAAACTGCGCAACTATAAAACGCTCTAGATCGGGATCAGTAAAGTATATGATCTAAGGCTCACAGACTATCGGGTGGCAAAGTCACTAAGGGACAAGGCTGGAGGCAGAGAGCATATAGGATTCGTCATCTGAAGGCCGCAGCTAAAAATCCAGGAAGGGCTGCTATCACACCCTAAAGATAGACACTAAAACGGGATCACATTAGCCAACAGAAACCTACACTGCAGATCTATAAATGGATAACAGATGAGCTACACGTTTGCAAGGCCAAAACTGTTAGCCTTAAATTTCAGAAGGGTATAAATACTAAAGATAGGGGTGTGTGTGTGTGTCTGGGGTGGGGGGGGGTTGATGATGGCATACCTGAGCGGCAGGAATCGCGTTTTGAACAGCATGGCCCCTAGTGTCCACTGCACTTCCTTGTCATAGACCAGCTGTGCCGTCCTCAGGCCTATGTACTCCCGTGGAAACCGGAACCCCGTGTGCAGAACCTCGAACATCCAGGCCGACTTAAAGCACTGGTACCTTGTCAGAAGTTCGAAAGCTCATTTTACACAGAGTGTCTAAGCTACACACCATCACTGCGTAAAAAGGCCTTTACACCATTTTCACTGCACATTAACCCACACGAGTCAGCTGATGTTCATTATATCAAGGGCAAAACGTGTGTCCTTGTCGGGATTAACAGAAAATTCCAGTTGCTTAACATACACCCCCAACCGCTGTTGTTCATTAGTGGTGTCCGGAAGGAATGTAATTAATAACAAACTGGGTAATAGTATAAAGAGTAAAAAAAATACTGGAAAGAACCAGGCCGTACTTTAGTCTGGAAAGGTCTGCTTGTATGGAGAAAAGCTTGCTGTCCAGCCGCTGCTTCAACGTCGACCACTTGGTGGCGCAATAATCCTGTGACGAGAGGCAGAGTGAAGTCGAGGCAGCGGGAAGCCCGCAGAGAGTGAGACGGATCCGGCCGTCTTAACAGACACAGACGGGTAAGCCGGACGGTTACCGATGCAGCTCTGGAGAAGCGGCCGCTGTCGTACTGTCCGCTGATGCGCAGCACGTCCTCGGTGCAGTAGTAGAATTCGGAGAAGCCGTAGAACTCGCTGTTGTGGTGGTCGACGGGGGCCTGGTAGGCACCGCGCAGGGAGGCTGTGCCGTTCGGCTGTCCGAGCAGCGGCCTCACCGTCTCCTGGCACCGCTGCCAGTCGCCCAGCCCCCGCAGGAAGACCGTTTGCCCGTTCCGCTGCACCGTGTCGGAGAGACCCGCCGGCAGGCAGGGGTCTAGGTAGGGCGTGGATTCACCCGTGCCCGTCTGATCGTTCGTGAGCCTGGGGGGCGTAGCCGCATTCAGAAAGAGGTCCAGCTGACACCATGACAGACAGTGACATTGATGCCCATTACACTGAGCTTTTACTGAATGACAGATAAAGTCGCTCAGGTGTACAGGTCACTCCTTAGATGCCGACCACATCTAGTCACTGACTGAAAAGCAACTTGGTGAACATGGGTCCCAAGTGTCCAAGTCGAATTCGTAAACATCAATCTGATCCCCAGGAAGTCAAATCATGTCATATATTGAAATAGACTCTCCAAGTGAGACCTATACTGGTCACATTATACTAATTAATTAAAGAGGTAATGAATGATCTAAAAATGAGCAGTGCATTGCGTGCACACACACACACACACACACACACCTGTTCCTGGCCAGCGTGCTGTTGACTAGGTCATCCTCGTAGCGCTGCCGTGCCATGTTGCCCCCGTAGCCCAGGAACGTGGTGACGTAGACACGGTATACGTGCTGAGTGTGGTCCTTGTCGCAGCCCAGGTTGAACTCTGCCAGCAAGTTCTTGGCTGTCTCCTCCTGGCAGGGCAGGTGGAGAGGTAAAGGACATCATTTAATCCCACACGGAGACTTTATCATTAACTTCCACATCTAAAGCCTGCATCTCAGGAGTTTACAACGGAGAAAACGGCTTAAAGGCAGGGGCAGCCATTACCTGCTCGGGTGAGCTGAAGGTGATGGCAGTGGGCACTTCATAAGCTATTTGCAGCGAGGCTCCGCCCATGTCGATGATGCCAACCGTACGCCTGCGGCTGATTGGCTCCTGATTCTGCACTCCAGTAGTAACCTCGACAACAGCATCCTCCCCTGCAACAATCATGTTGGGTCGTGTTGTGACAACCACCACCAGAATGTGGCTTATCTTCTGTTTCCCACAAAAACAATCAACAATTTCTGCCCAATGTGGAGTAGACACTGTTCACAACCTCAGATCCTCATCAGCCAGCAAATATTTAAACCTAAAAATTAACCTCACACAATATAAAGAGGATCAGGAAATGTAACATTATACCAATAACAAGTAGTCAGCATTACTGAAAGTCTTTCCTTAGATCACACAGTTATACAGTCAGGTTAAGATCCTTCTTCAAGGATAACAGTCAGGCACTGTTGCATTACAAGCCTGCGGCTTTCAACACCGCGCTTCTCACCAGTCCGTCTTTCATCACCATGCCACAAGTGACATGCGAAGCCAATACAGCGTGCAGATGGCGCTCTAATTCGGGCAAACGGGGCCACTTCTTAAGCTCACACTCACCTTCGTCGGCGTGGTCGAAGCGGCCAAGCACGAAATTAATGCCAATCCATGCATAAACTCCTGCAGTGAGAAAAAGCAGAGCATGCCTTTGACTACACGATAATGCACACACTATGTGGAAGCTGCGGGTGCTGCAGCCTGAGGACAGGGGGCACCCAAGTTGCCCTCTCTTACCTTCCTGTTTCCCAGAGATCACTTCCGCCTGGGAGCTGGAGAACAGGAAGTCGAACTCTGTGGGCACGTCTCTCGCCAGGTCTTCCAATATCGCCACCTGCTGGCTGGAACGACAACAGCGCAGTCCATCCATCAGACATGTAGAGGCCCATTGCACTACAGTCTTGGCTCCACATCTGCAGCGCAGAATGCGAGCACGCAAACAAAGAAACAAATGTAAACAGCAGAATATGAATAGGCTTCTTTGCTCCCAGGTTTCTGGCTGACACACACAAGCTCGGAAACCTGCATATTCGCCTCGCCATCTGCTGCACCGTGGGCAGCGCAGCGAGGGAGCTGGCGCGGGCCCCAGGATGTCAGACGGACGGGTGGCCCACCTCTCGGGCAGCAGCCTCATGCCAGCCGTGCATAGGATGTAGAGGGGGGTCTCCCGGTGCTTCTCCCTAGGGATGCGAGCTGCCGCGAAGCTGAGCAGGGGCTGCAGGTAATCGCTGGCCTTGTCAGGCATGAGCGCCAGGGTGGATATGCCTGAAAGATAGCAGAGAGTCACATGACGCCGGCCAGCCAATGTGGGGTGGGGGTAACCTGATACAGATCTCCACCAATGCTGACAGGTCTCACAAACAGGAAGTGTAATGCAGGCCCTAACTCCATCGACAAGACTGAGGACCCTCTAGGTTAAGGCACGCGCCACACTCCACCAAACCCAAACAAATTTAGATTTTGTCACACTTTCTGTAGTAAGAACCTATATTTTCTTGAGCTAAAATGGTTTTGTTTCCTGACTCATGGATCAGTCAGCAGTTTACACACCATGAATATAGCAAAATAGAACAGAAATACCTGGATAAGGCATGGATTTCTTCATTAAAACTCTATTATTACTCAAATATTACTAAAAAAATGTTTTTAAAAAATTGCAAACGAAACCTGGGTGTGCAAACAATTTAGAAAATATGGGAGATGGGGCAATATCAGCAGAAAACACTTCCTTGTTAAGTTTTTTTTTCCTAACATCATGGAAAACTTGAGTAATTACTGATAAGCCCGAAAAGCCTGGGAATTTACCTTCCATAACATGTGTTTTAATAACAGGTGGCCATGTTCCACGTTTCAAAATCACAGATAAAGCGCCGTCCCCCCCGAGACCACAACTTATGCCGTGTTCCATTTACCCAGCAACATGTGCCCAGATATCGGTTGGACAGCAGTGTTTATGACCAATTTAATGAGCCACAAATAAGATGCAAGTGCTAATGAACATCATATAACTACAGCTGAAACTTTTCCTGAGGTTGGGCGCTGCCACCATGAATTCTGAGGTTGGGGTTGAAGAGGTTCCTCCGATTTTCTAAGTTGGAACATCAGGCGGTGTTCCATTTGAAATTTCCAACTAGGAACTCGGAAGTTCCAACTTCAGAGTTCAAATGGAACGCAGTAGTGATGGGCAAATGTTTGTTGTACTTTTTAACCACTAGATGGTGCTCTTGGGTTGTTTTGGGGGATGCATGGTGGCCTTTTTTGAACAGAGAGCACCATCTAGTGGGGTCAAAAAATACAGCAAATGGTTCATGAAGCGTCATTTTGTCCATCTCTAGAACGCGGAAATCACTGCTCCCATTCTCTCCCACCCAACTCCCCCTAGATGAATTAGCCCCCCACACCTGGCTTAATCTTCTTGACCACGGGGGTGCGGTCGTGGTCCCGCATCTGTCGTATGTCCAGCAGCGAGTGGGGGTTGCCGTTGTGGGGGGGCCAGTAGTAGACAAAGACACGTGAGCCGCTGCTTCCGCAGTCGACCACGATGCCGTAGTTCAGCGCGCGGTTTGTTACGTCAGTCGCTTCCATGTGTTCCAGGAAGGAAAAATACCTGCCAGAGAGAGATGGTTAAACCTGAACGAAGGCCATCTATGAAACACAACCAGTGCAACTCTCCTGTAATCGGGGCCAACGGTCATTCAATCGCAGCAGCCTATGCCGTTAATATGCACCTATCTGCACTGTAATCACGTGTGAGATAACTGATGTTTTCCCACTCTGCTCACTTATTCACGTGTCCTGTTTGCTGAGCAGGCTTCCAGTGCTCCGTCTGGTACAGGCCCAGGAGAAGCAGCAGCAGGCATGTCACAAGCACTGGCCAGAAGAGGCGCTGTCGAGGCAGGCACCCCAGGGACAGGAGTGACAGGCTGAAATGCCAGGAGGCCGGAAGACGGCAGGATAGACTCAACCTGGAGAGGCAGCGGCGACACTGTTAGTCCCAATCCCCATTGCAGGGCTCAGCCCAAAACCAACCCAAACATCACGCTCCGACACTGCCAGTCGGCGTAAGAAACTGAGAACGTGGTGTGACACGCACAGAGCCATACATCAACAGTTCATTCAGCTATTGCATTTTGATCTCCACAATCAGTGTGAACCACGTTTCAAAAACGCATTAATTTAGGCAAAATCACCGACACAACGAGCCCGGAGCAGCAATCAGATTTTCGTTTATGGCCTACCTGGCCATGGGTCCGGCAGCGGCTGTCACCTTCTCATGGTCACGTGACACCTGGACCCTGCGGTCTTCTGAGCGCCGCGCAAGAGGTAAGGCAAGATTAGTCAGACAGAGACACATATTTACCTCAATGTCCACTTGGCAATAACGACAACAGGCAGAAAGATGACTAACTCAATAACAACTGCTCCTATTAGGACGGCGAGCTTCGATAGAACCGCAAAACTTCGACTGAAAGTGGCTTCCGCTTTCGGCACAAAACCGTTAGTTGACCTTAAATGTACTAATAAACTGATCAACTATTATTATTCCCCACATCACCAGACAGTTAAATTAAACTTGAACTGCCTGATCACCTAAATGTGTATTTATATGGTAAAGCCCCCCCAGAAAATAAAGTACCTAGTTTGCCCACATATATAAAGCTAGCTATTAGCCGGTTAGCTAGTCAAGGCAGGTAAACGCCGCACGCACGCTGTTAGTCGGGTATTACCTGTACCTTAGACAGGCTGGCGGAGAGTCCACGCTGCTGCCCGGTTTGGTCCGGAGAAACGCGATACGCAGTCACTCATGTCGCCGCTATAGCTGCAGCACACCGCCCCGTCTCAGCGCCGCCGACGCCGTAGTCAGCGACCTGCCTGTGACGAAATACGGCGCCACGTCACTAAGGAAACCGCAGCACTGTCGCAAAACGCCGGCGGCGTGAGACCGCCCCATTCATCTGGGCTCGGACGCCGGCCACGTGTGTTATAACGCGGCCGGGCTCTGCTACTGTTCGACCGACACTAACTGTCGCTGGTGTGCTGTTCACGCCGATAAAAGGACACGGAGCTGAGTTATACAGCATACTGTTCCTTAAACTACATCTAAATAAAACCTACGATTCTAGTAATAAGCAACTAGATATCGAATTCAACGTAAGTAAAATGGAAAATATATTGTAAGGTTTAGGTTCAAATGGTGAAATCTTATAGAATGTATCTAGTGCATTCCGTCCCAGGAATACGCAATTACTGAACTAAACGTTATATGAAAAGATGCTCAGATACCATCCCATCCGAGCTGTACCCCAACCTTGTGCCCTATAATGCATGGGACAGGCGGCTCTGGAGCCTGTACCACGAAGCAGGATTTTTTGCTTAGCCAAATAATGTCTCGTATTTAAGATACCATTGTTGAAATGGACATTACTTTCGTTCTTTTAAGCCTACATTTAGCCCAGATTACCTAAAACATAACAAGCTATTCGGCTAAGAACGAAATCCGATTTGGTAATACAGGCCCCTGATGAGGGTAAGTGGTGAGAAGATGGGTGGATGTTTACATACATAATTCAGTTTGGCAAAGTTAACTTTGGTTAACGTAATTTGTCTGAGCTAATATTACTTTTAATCTATGGGTGTAATACAGTTACAGCCAGATCGCCTATATATTAACCTCTCTCGCAGCGTTTTGCTAATTTGCTAAGTTAACTCAAAAGTTAGAAATTCTGACACCTACCGGCTACAGTGATATAGCCAGTAACAATACCTGACCGTCACACACTCCAGCTGTACATTTGGTTCCCATTGGTGACATGATTAGTCTTCCAGTCATGAGCTGTGCTTGAAATGGGGGAAAACAGATGCCAGTACTTCACCTTCTTATGCACTGCATGTGAGACTGGACCAGGTGGCACTACGGAAACACGGCAGGCACTCTGGAAAGACCGTGTGGCACCAGGACTCTGTACCGGTGAGTACTGACCCCTTAATGCGCTGCCTATAAGATTCCAGCCCATGCAAACATAGACTGCTTACCAACAGAGATACACTCCATAACGATCCCATCCACTAGCGTGAGTCAACCAAATTCCATATCCATTAACGTAATGAACACGGTTTATAAAATCAGCCTCCTATCCTGTTGGCAACATCAACCTATTATCTCTTTGCCAAACTGACCAAAATGCACCTTTATTTTCTGTAAGCCTGCTGTATAGTTGCCTCTCTTTATACATTAATCATTGTGCTATTTGTAGAGTATATAAGGAATCCTATTTCCACCTCAAACATCGCCATCCCTTCCATGAGCAGCCATTTAAACAGCTTCCCAAAGTTATATAAAGCCTGTCTAGACTTTAGTTCTTTGCAAAATCTTGCCGCAGTCCATTCCAACCACTGACATTACTGTGTTCTGTGTTACCCAGAGGGTTCCTGTTTTTGCCCCTGAGTCTGCCTAATCCAGCGGTCTCCAACTCCGGCCCTGGAGAGCTACTATTCAGTAGGTTTTCTATCCTACCTGGCTTCTGATGAGCCACACCTGCTCCTGGTATTTACCTGAGAACAGCTGTGGCTCATCAGAAGCCGGGTATGATAGAAAACCTACTGGACTGTAGCTCTCCAGGACCGGAGTTGGAGACCCTTGGCCTAATCTATAGTACCCTGGTAACTCCTGTTTGAGCCTCTGCCTGAACACTGAGCTTGATTTTTATTTAATTTTTTTAGTGTTTTTGTTTTGCAGAATAAACTGTGCTCGTTGCTGCCATCCCAGCAGTGGTGGCCCTGATGGGCAGCGCACTTGTAATTGTAAGTTTGCTGGTTCGAATGCCTGGTCAGTGAAGTACCACTGAGGTACCCGACCAAAGTACCACCCCCAAGCACTGCTCCCCGGGCGCTGAATTAGCTCCCCCTGCTGGGTTTGAATGCAGAGGGCATATTTTCTTGTGTGTTGTGGTGTGTCAACAATGACAACTAATCAATTTCACTTCATGTCATACAAAGATCTACAAAATGATGCAGGTCTGTTGCATGGCGCCATCTTTTACTTGCTGAGGTGAAGTACAACAAAACGAAGGCATACTTGTTCAAAATATATTTTAGCCCAAATGATTTATTGCATATATTACATTTTCTACTTCATTTACACTCCGTTTTAATATCTATTATTGGCTTGATCGATCACCATTTACCCACCAGGTGTCACTATGATGCGAGGTTTTGACCAGCCTGAACGACCAAATCTTTTTCAAAATCAATCATTTTAATCTCTCAGGTGCCCTGTTTCTGTTATCATTAATTCGTGGTTTTCTTCCAGGTAGATTTTTAACGAGACTAGTGTGAGAGATGTACATTTGTCACTCGCTTAAATTGTTTTGGTTTCTGGTCGAGAAACGTTTGCTTGCTATGCGTTGTGGTCACGTGACTTGCCACTTTCATTCCTACAGCCCGTCTCACTCAATCCAGCCGCTGTGATGGATCAGCTCGGATACTCCTGTGTGTAAACACCCCAGAGCTGGCGAACTGCGAATTAGTTTCAGTAACGGTCTTTGAATTCCGAGCCTCCCTTTTATAAATCCCCGATAATGATACAGTCAAAGGGTGAACAGTGTTTACTATAAATGCAGGTTCTGAAATTTGGAGGCAGGCAGTCTAATCTCATATGCTCCGCTTAGCAAATTACCAGAGTTTAAAAGATATTAAATATTTAAATAAGATATAATTTACTTAACATGACCCACTTACAAGTGAGCCGCATAATCTGCTCTCTACAATCACTGAACTGTAATTATTTACCGCAAGTGTTTCATTTCAAGGGGCTTGTTTAATAAACAGATCTCTTGCTTATGTAGCAAAAAAACAAGACTAGCAGTAGAGGAATTTCGCCATAATGTTGCAGTTTGATTTTCCAGGCTAAGACTAGCTTTAAAAAAAAAAAAAAAAAATTAAAATAATTAGCTAACTCATTAACTATTCTTTTACCAGGCAGCAGGTGGCACTGTGGGCTGGGACATACGCTTCAACCTGAACGGTCACCGGTTTACATTTTGGAAGGGAAGGTCATAGGTGTACAAGATAACATACTTAATGTGAATAATGTAGAAATTTCTAGTTCCGAATCTGAAAGCGAATCTTAAGTTGCCGTTGAGATTTCCCTGAAAACATTAACGTTGCCTGGCTGTACCCTGGCATCCTGTAAAAGGTGTACCACCTACCTATCGCCCGGTGCCATGACCCTGACAGAGATACGTGGCTTAAAAATAAAGGAATGGATTGAAATCTTCTTTCTGTTTTGTAAGATTTGCATCCTAAGAGGCAACATGTTGTTTAAGAAACATTCTTCCTGGAAAACAAGTCCTTCACACGGAGGTTTTCGTCAAGCCTAATTTCCTTCCACGCACGGCCCCTAAAATGATTAATTACTGGCCACATGTGGGGTAAGGTTTCCCCCCCCCCCACGCCACCACAAATAATAACAACAAGGAAATCTGGTTTCTAATGGAGAGTAACGGCCGGCGCTGCCTTGGTGCGGGTCTGCACCGTCTGCTTCTGCTGGCGGGAGTTCAGCACGAAAGCGCTTCACTGCCAGCTGCAGTGCCACAGTAAGCAGTTAGGACCCACTGGCTAATGATGCAGTTTAGGCTTTGTTGGAGGTCAAGAAACTATAGTACTGCACTAAAACGTACCGTATGAGTGGCCCCCAGCCACGAGAATAGCGCCTCTGACGTCAGTCCCCACAAAGGAACGCAGTGGCTTGCGGAGAAACTCCCCCTCGCGACTGTGCCAACACTCCTGCTGACTTCTTGTTTTCGCCCCCCAGCGCTGGCCAAAGGTTAGCGCTAAGCTAATAGTTATCTGCCCACATCTGCTTTCACCATTTTGACATCTGCTTTCACAACATTAAGTAACGCTGCAAAAGATGTTTGCACCAGATGCTGGTTAGTCATTTTCCACCCCTTTCGATATTTTAGTTCGGTCGGACGTCATTCTTGGCTACTTGTTTGTGTAGCTGTGGTCTGATTCACAACAGCATGGATTTTCCTGTGACGGTCTCCCATCGTTAACCACGACGCCCTCTGCTGGCCATTACATTGTGGCCCGAGGGTGTGTCCTGTCGTGTGTACTGCGAGCTTCATGTCTGGCGTGTTTTCTATATGTTTAGAAAGTGTCTGTAATCATGCTGGCTGATGGAGGTACCGCGGGCATTCAGGGGACATCTCACCATCTAACACATCCTGTTCTTTTTGCTCTGTTCCCCATAATTGAATCTATTTCCCCCAGGGGCAATTTATATGATTTTTCATTTATCATTTATGCAGTGGGGCCAACCTTATCATTAATCAATGATATTTTTTTTAATTGTTGAGTGACCATAGGGGGGGTGTGTCACTCTTGGGGCTAATCAGCTTTCAGCCAGTGGCCCCACCCCTTTATATGCCCCTGCTTCCCCCCCGCATTCTCAGCCACCCCAGATTGACACGTCGGGGGTCTCCGTTCACAGACTGTCACATCATGAGGGCAGAGGGTGTCTGGCAGTCATGGCCACCGGCAAATGACACACTGTGGCTTTTTGCTTTCGGACTCCAAAAAGCTGCCCTTTCCTATCTTGTGGTGTTAATTGGGCTCTTGGCTGCCAGGGCATCTATCAGAGATCGGTGTCCATGCAGAGCTGGCTTGTGTGTGTGTCTGTGTGTGAATTAGGTTTATATTACATTGTGGGGACCAAATGCTGCCCCACAATGTGATAAAAACCTGTTATTTTGACATTGTGAGGACCATTTTTCAGGTCCCCCACAAAGAACTGTGAATGCAATCAAAAAACTAAAAATGCCAAAAGTCTCATATTTTGTTTGGTTACTTATGGTTAAGGTTAGGGCTGGGTAGGGGTTAAGGTCTTTATGTTGGGA